AAGGCAGAGAAATGGATTTTCCTCTAAGATCTTTCCAAAAGGAAAGCAGCCCTGCTGATACCTTAATTTTAGTTCAGGGAGACTAGTGTCAGACTTCTGATCTACAGAACTCTTAGACAGTAAATGTGTGCTGTTTTAAGCCACTAAATTCATGGTAATTTATTACAGCAGGAATAGAAAATACAGGGGGCTTAGCAGGATGTTCTGTGAGCATCTGCTTACTTCCTGATTCAGACCCCCTTTACATTCATTGTTTTTGAATCTCACTTCCCTTTTCTAGATAACAACACTTTGATTCTTAGAAATCAAGAAAATGAGAATCTGAATTTCTGAAAATGTTTCCTTACTCACAATAATTGTCAATTTCTGAGAACTCCGCTAGAAATAAAAGTCCATAGCAAAGCCTAGCAATTTCTGGATGCAAAAAGGAGAGAATTTGAAAAAGAGTGGAATGCAGTGCTTATTAAAGAATTATCATTTAATGTTGGTTTTTATTTCAAGTAATAAAGGACCAGTGCTGCTCAGGGAACATTGACCACCCCATGAGAAATCCTTCCTTCTCTTTCTAGTCCCTTCTCCAAGGAATGTGGATCAGGACCAGAGGTAAAATAACCTCTGGGAGAAAGACTTCTTCCCTATCCTCATTCTTGACCTGAAGCAACCCACTGGTCGGGCTGTATGTAACCACTGTGAACCCTGGCACTCCCTGTCTCAATGACAGTGCTCTTGCCATAGCAAATCCAGTCCACTGGAGCTGATGCAGGAAAGAATCCTTTGTGTTCTTCCTCAACATTACTCAAAAGGTGCATTAGAGGTGGACAACACAAATCAACCTGGGGTGTGAAGCATCACTGGCCAGATGAGACTAGACATCCAGAAAATGGTTTGGTGCTGCCTCTCTTTAAAGCCAGACTTTAACAACTTCTGATGCTGGACTTTTTGGTAATGAAGATAAAAATCTTATGTAAACCATACTAAGAACTTAGTAGCTTGAAGCAGTGGAAAGATCCACGCTTGGGATATCCGAGCCCCGAGCTTTATTCCTGGCTCTGACCCTGATTTGCTGGATTCTCTCACCTTGACAAGGCTCAGCTCCCCTGTATATGCTGTCAGGGGCTGTGTTGGATCACCTTCCAACTCTGCTCTCTAGGAGGTTTCCTCTGCCCCAAGAACCAACTATTGACCCAAAAGTGAATTGCTATTGTTCACCGAAGACCAAAAGTGTCCTAGGTGTTTGAGCATGTCAGAGAGCACAGGTTGGGGTTGGGGCACGGTCAGCCAGAGAACTGAAAGCAGAATTTCAGGGGAGGTTTACTGAGCCGAACAAGAGGTGGGGTCTGGGACAGAGAGCTGTGAGGAGCCCCCAGCTCTTCCCACAGCTGCCCCATCCTCTCTGCCCAAGTCTCAGGCGGCAGTTGATGGAATCTGAGCTTCAGAAGGGAAGTCTAGCCCTGGCTAGGAGGGACCTTGGGCATCTCCCTTCCCTTCTCTGGACCTCAGTTTCCCCACAGGATTTGTCCCGCAGGGGAGGGGATCTTTCTCCTGCACCACGTCTGGCTTGAGCTGGGGAGAAGCGAATACTTGGTGGGTGACCAAGGAGTTTCCTTTTTTGGCTCCAGATTCGCCTGCCCACCCATCCAGCCCGCCAGGCCCTGGTCCAGGATCTTCCTCGCTCCATGCGGGTGTACTTCCCTGGGACCCTCTCCTGTCCCTCTCGGTCTGGAATTCCTCTCCCGTTCCCGCCCAGGCCATGTACCTGCGCCGCGGGCCCCGCCGAGCTGGCCGGCCCCGGAGTAGGGCACGCTGGCGGGGGCAGCCGGAGCGGGGCGGCGTCCGGGGCTGCCCCCTGGGCCGCGGGTCCCCAACCTGCGTAAGCCCGGTCGGGCCATGGGGCTGGGGGCGGCGGGGGGCGGTGGCAGCAGCAGCAGCGGCCAGAGCAGGAGAAGCAGTCCCGGGATGTGGCGCGGCATGGTGGGCTCCACGCTGCTGCCCGTGTCCGTCGGTGGGTCGTCGTTCAGTGGCTGGGTCAGTGGCGGGCGGGTGCCGGGTTCCTGGGCGGCCAATTTAAAGGTCCCGCGGCCGCGGGCCCCGCCCCTGCAGCCTGGGGTCCCGCCCCTCGGCTTTAGGCCCCACCCCTCAGCCTAGGCCCCGCCCGCGAATCCGTCCAGGGCAGCGGGCCGCCTGGTCCAGTGCATTCCCGCGGCGGACCTGGAATGTCTGGGGCCCGTCGGCCAGCGGCGCGGTGCCCGACCCCGGCCCGCCGCCGCTCCGGTCTCGTCTGGGTGGGCTCGGCCCGCTGCCTCCTGGCCGGGTTCTAGCCCTCTCGAAATTTCTGCCTGGCCATACACCTGGGGCCTGGTCGACCCCCAACTCGCCCTCCTGACCCCCAGGCTCCCAGTTCAGGAGGCCCAGGCTTCACGGTCCAGCTCCATCCAGGTTTGCCCACCTCACAGTTTCCCCTCGCTCCTCACAACTACATGTTTTTCCCCAGCCAGGGAACCCAAGTTTTGCTGTGGGCTCTCCTAAAAAAAAAAAAAAAAAAAAAAAAACACCTCACAGATTCTAGCAGCGTGAATAGAAATACTTTCATCCTAACTTCAAACATCCTAAACATTTGAACTTATATTACCAGGAATAGAAAGTCAAACATACGTTTCCCCAGAGAGCCCTCTGTGAGCTGGAAGGACAGCCTGTACCACAGGCTTCAAAGGCTCTCCCTCCATCCCACTTCCTCCCCCAGGGGTGATGGTGGTGGCAGCGCAGGGCTGGAGCCAACCCAGGGGACCCTCCAGGAACTCGTAGCCCATGGGTAGAGAGAGAAGTATCAATGGTGTACCTGTCTAAGGAAATATACTGAGGTCAAGGAGAGACTGGCTCTGCCTGAGGAAACCAGGAAGGCTTCCAAAAGCAGGTCACCGCTGAGCTGGACGGTGAAACACGGCAACGAACGTGAGTCCCAGCAGAGCCTGTGTGGTCTTCCTACTTTCAGACTATTGCCTTTTAATATCTACACTCCACATAGTAACCTTAAGATCTCTTCTTAAACCTTGCAACTTCACTTCCAGTAAACTCCAAACTCCTTTGCGTGGCCACCTCCTCTACCACACTGACCACATCTGAAACTGTACTCTTCTCTCCATGCATCAACCACACTAGGCTTTCCCCTTGTCCTGGAGGACGCCAAGCTTGTTTCCACCTTGTGGCCTTGGCACTGGGACATCCCTATATCTTAGTTTTTTCAAACTTATTTTTACCACTATCCACTGTGTTGGTGGTGGTTTAGTCACTACGTTGTGTCTCACTCTTGCGACCCCATGGACTGTGGGTTGCCATTTCCTTCTCCAGGGGATCTTCCTGACCCAAGGATCAAACCCCAGTCTCCTGCATTGCAGGAGGATTCTTTACCAACTGAGCCCCTAGGGAAGTCCAACTATCCACTGTAACAGCTACATTTTATATCATAAACTGAGAGTGACATAAATATCTAGTAGGGTTGTGTACAACAGAAATAGTAGTTTCCTGAAACAGTATTTACCCTTACCACATGTGACAGACTCTAATTAATCTGCTTTATTCATGTTCATTCAGTTCTGTTTCATTTTTTTTAAAAAAATATAAACAGAGTTCATGATTCACTATTTCCCAGTCAGCAGTTTGAAAACCTGTTTTAATTAGATTCTTTCCTACTCTTTCTTCCTTTCCAATTTATTATGGTATCAATACCTGTGTTTCATGTATATATGCATATATAAGTATCAATATCTGTGTGGTTCACATATATATAAAGTGTACTATATATATATATGTACATGCTGCTGCTGTTGCTGTTAAGTCATTTCAGTCGTGTCCAACCCTGTGTGACCCCATAGACAGCAGCCTGCCAGGCTCCTATGTCCCTGGGATTCTCCAGGCAAGAATAATAGAGTGGGTTGCCATGTCCTTCTCCAATACATGAGAGTGCAAAGTGAAAGTGAAGTCACTCAGTCATGTCTGACTCTTAGCGACCCCATGGACTGCAGCCTACCAGGCTCCTCCGTCCATGGGATTTTCCAGGCAAGAGTACTGGAGTGGGGTGCCATTGCCTTCTCCAACATATGTATATATATTGTATTTATTTCTTTACCCCACTCAACTGTAGGCTCCAGGAGCATAGAGCTGATGCCTGCATTGTTCACTGCTGAATTGCTGTAAATTCTCCCTCACTATGTGCAGGTTTACAGTCTACAGTAGGACCAGGATTTCAGGAAATATTAATAAAAGTTCACAAACAGGGCTGATATTTAGCCCTACCTTGGCAGTATAGTAAATAGGCATGATAGATAATTTGTCAGAGAAGAAATAACCTGGCATTACTTTTTCCAAGAGTCGAAGGATGCTGAGGAAATGGCTTTGCTCCGTTTCACTCCACTGCCTGACAAGAGCGGCTCTGTGCTGGGCAAGGGCTCTGCAGACAGGCCCTTCCTCTGGCCTCCTCTAGCGGGGGAGTTGGTGTTCCTCCACCACAGGCTCCTTCTCTGAAGAAATGCAGGGGGAGAAGCAACATGAACTGTAATGGTCTGTTTCAGCACACTTGCAGGTAGGCACATGTAGAGAGTAAATCTGTTTGGTTAGGTTAGGGAGTAAATCATGGGTAGCTTCCTTTAAAAACTCACTTTACTACTGCTCTCTTATTTTTACAGTTTTAAGAAACTGTTTCTTTATCACTCCACTCTAGCTCAGTTATGCTCTGGTAACGAATGACTCCAAAATCTCAGGGTCTTCTAGCAACAAAAATACTTCTTGCTCTATTATGTGTCTTTCATAGATCTATATCTGCATTCTGGCACTCAGACTTAAGGGGCAGCCTCAATCTGGAATATGCTGGTCTTGAGATAAAGGGGAAGAAGGAGAGATGGAAGAGCCAGATGACAGATCTGTGATGATTTATTATTCTTTCCCTAGAATAAACTGCTAGGGTGGAAAGTCTGAATGAACAGGGCTTCTTTGGTTGTGTACCATCTATGTCAGAAATTTCGTCTGATGTGGTTTCAGCTACCACTCCTCTGGTGCTGTGCTTAATAGTTCAGTCGCGTCCAACTCCTTGTGACCCCATGGACTGTAGCCCGCCAGGCTCTTCTGTCCATGGGGATTCTCCAGGCAAGAATACTGGAATGAGTAGCCATGCCCTCCTCCAGGAGATCTTCCCAACCCAGAGATTGAACCCAGGTCTCCCAAATTGCAGGCAGATTCTTTACCATCTGAGCTACCAGGGAAGTTCCAAAATCTGGGTCTCTTGTCCTAATCCTGCTCCTGGGAAGTAGAACTCCATCAATTATCCTTCCTGTGGCACTCTATTCACAGATCACAAAAGTACCCCAAGGTCAAGCATTTCCAAGAGTGAGCTTATCCTCTCCTCTTCAGCGAACTTCCTCTCCTTTATTCTCATTTCTGCCAGTGATACTGCAATCCTTCCAGCCACACAGACATGAAGGTTTGGTGTCCATTTCCTCCTCTTGAGCTTTTGGTATTAAATAAGTTATCAAGTCATCTACCCCACATCTTCACCGGTTCATATCTGTCCAATTCTCAAGGCTTATCTCAAATCACATCACTATAGGAAGTCTATTCTTATCTTTCCAACCAGATATGATCCTCAAAGGAGAGGGAGGGGAAGACAAGAAGAAATATGTGAAGAAATAATGGCTGAAAAAGTTTCCAAACTTGATGAAACCTATAAACCCACAGATCCAAGGTCAATGAACCCTAACCACAAGAAACACACACAAGGGATAATTAGGGATTTGGAAAGGTCATGTATACACTGCTGTATTTAAGACGGATAACCAGCAAAGACCTATTGTATAGCACATGGAATTCTGCTCAATGTTATGTGTCATCTTGGATAGGAGTGGAGTTTGGGGGAGAATGGATACATGTATATCCATGTGTATGTATGGCTGAGTCCCTTCACTGTTCACCTGAAACTACCACAACATTGCTGATTATCTATACCTCAATACAAAATAAAAAGTTAAAAAAAAAAACACACACACAACATAAAAAATGCACGTAATGTAAAAAAATGTACAATCAAGGAACATCATAAACAAATTGCTCAAAATCAGTGATAGAGAAAAACTTTTAATTACCTGAAGGAAAAAAAAAAAGAGAGAGAGGCTTTCCTATAGAAGAACAAAGTTAAGGAAGACAGCAATTTTCTCAGTGGAAACTATGTGTCCAGAAAGATAATGCAGCCAAATCTTTAAAGTCCCAAGTGAAAAAAAACCTGACAACCTAGAATTCCATACCCTGGGAAAATAGCTTTTGAAAACATAGGTAAATCAAAGACATTTTTAGACATGCAAAAGCCAAAAGAATTCAGCAGCAGCAGAACCATGCTGGGGGGTAAAAAAAAAAAAAAAACCACAGAAAAAAGTAATACATGTCCTCTGGCTGAAGAATGATTACAGATGGAAATGTGTACCTCTATGAACGAAATGAAGAGCACTAGAAATGATAACTGAATGGGTATATATGGAAGTTTTAAAATTATTTTTCTCTTTAAAAGATAATTAACTGTTTAACCAAAAAAAAAAAAAAAAGTCATAGAAGGTCAGAGGAAGAAGGAATCTGGGCAGTCACTTGTTTGCAAAGAGTTATTTACTAACTTCATTCAACTGATGGGAGGGCCAGGAATATAAATTAGCTTTCCTGATGCCTTATTCGGATTTTGAGCTACCTAACTGAATGATGACAGATACAAAACTCCTTTATAACAGACCAGAAAACAGTTAACTCTTTTTCTGGTTTCCAGGTCAAATACTTCCTCTTCAGGCCTTCCTTTACCCATTCCTTGCTCAACACAGCCCCTCATGATAATATTTGCACAGTGCTTTATAACTGCCAACCTTTCCATGTCTGTTACCTCATTTGATCCTAAGAACAACTCCAAGAAGTCCATAGGCCAGGAATTTGCATTTTCTTGATTTTACAGATGCAGAAACTGAAGCTCAGATCCCAGTTAAATTTCCCCAAGATGAGAGAGTAATAGCTTGGTGACACGAGGAATTGAATTTCATCCTTCTGACTCCAGATCCTGTGCTCATTCCAACCATTCTGCCTCTCACATGTCCTTATTCCATTAGGTGGCAACATTCTCTTGCTTGTAAATTATTTTCTCATACTTAAAAGTCGTGACTTTACTAAAAAAAAAAAAAGCAACCTCAGAAAAGCAAAATTACAACTTTTTCTTTCACTCAACCCTTGGGCTTATTTATAACATATTCCTCCTCTCAGCAAAAGGAGACCTGAAAATGGCACACTTAGCATTTGCCTACAAGGAACATTGGAATGATTCCATGATGACCGAACAAATTAGTCACAGATTGGAAAACAGGGCAATTGGTACACCATCGAACAAGGAATAAAATGTACAGTTTATCAATGGGAGATTTCTTGGTCTCATTTTTAAGACCCTTTAAATGTAGGCGTGGGGGCTTCCTTGGTGGTTCAGTGGTTAAAAATCTGCCTTGCAATGCAGGGAACAGGGGTTCAATCCCTGGTCAGAGAAGATCCCACATGCCTTGGAACAGCTAAGCCCATGCGCCACAACTACTGAGCTCCAATCTCTAGAGCGTGCAAGTCGCAGCTGCTAGGCCTGTGGGCTGCAACTACTAAAGCCCTAGAGCCGGTGCTCTGCAAGAGTAGCCACTACAATGAGAAACTTGGAACACCAAAATGAAGAGTAGTCCCAGCTTGCCGAAACAAGAGAAAGCCTGTGGGCAGTAACAAAGACCCAGCACAGCCCAAAATAAATAATCTTTTTTAAAAATTAATTAAATGTAAGTGTGGTGTGGCCCACTTATAGCCATGAAATTATAAAGCCAAATTTATAGCCATGAAATTAAAAGATGCTTGCTTCCTGGAAGAAAAGTTATGACCAACCTAGACAGCATATTAAAAGCAGAGACATTACTTTGCCAACAAAGGTCCATCTAGTCAAGGCTATGGTTTTTCCAGTGATCATGTATGGATGTGAGAGTTGGATTATAAAGAAAGTTAAGTGCCAAAGAATTGATACTTTTGAACTGTGGTGTTGGAGAAGACTCTTGAGAGTCACTTGGACTGCAAGATCCAACCAGTCCATCCTAAAGGAAATCAGTCCTGGGTGTTCATTGGAAGGAATGATGCTGAGGCTGAAACTCCATACTCTGGCCACCTGATGCGAACAACTGACTCATTTGAAAAGACCCTGATGCTGGGAAAGATTGGAAGGTGGGAGAAGGGGACGACAGCGGTTGAGATGGTTGGATGGCATCACTGACTCAATGGACATGTGTTTGAGTATACTCCGGGAGTTGGTGATGGACAGGGAGGCCTGGCGTGCTGCAGTCCCTGGGGTTGCAAAGAATCAGACACAACTGAGCAACTGAACTGCCTGAAATTTATACTAAAAATAATCTATTACCAGTGAAAATTTTGTGGAGACAAATTGTTTCATTCAGTGAACATCCCGCTGCACCCCACCCCCCACACCTCCAGTTTGTGTAGGTCATTGAACTAAGTGCTATGCTGCTGCTGCTGCTGCTAAGTCACTTCAGTCTTGTCTGACTCTGTGCGATCCCATAAACGGCAGCCCACCAGACTCCGCCATCCCTGGGATTCTCCAGGCAAGAACACTGGAGTGAGTTGCTGTTTCCTTTTCCAATGCATGAAAGTGAAAAGTGAAAGTGAAGTCGCTCAGTCGTGTCCGACTATTAGCGACCCCATGGACTGCAGCCTACCAGGCTCCTCGGCCCATGGGATTTTCCAGGCAAGAGTACTGGAGTGGGGTGCCATTGCCTTCTCTAAACTAAGTGCTAAAGATGGAACAAAAAAAGAAAAGGCCTTATTGCCAAGTTGTTCACTAAGAGACTCAGATACACTTAACATGAGCTGTAATGGAGGTATGTACTCCAGGAAAGGAGGCAGGCCAACTCAACAAGTCATTCTCCAAAGCCAGTTCACCGAAGTTCATTTGTCAGATGATCAGAGAGAATGGGAGAAGGCCATGGCAACTCACTCCAGTACTCTTGCCTGGAAAATCCCATGGACGGAGGAGCCTTTTGCAGCTACACTCACAGTGATAAACTGGAAAAGTGAAGCAAGATGCCCAAAAACCACAACAGTGGCATGGAAGAATGCAGATGTAGACAGCTAGAGAAGGATACTGAATAGATTTTTAAAACAAAGTGAAGTCACTCAGTCGTGTCCGACTCTTTGCGACCCCATGGACTGTAGCCTACCAGGCTTCTCCATCCATGGGATTTTCCAGGCAAGGGTACTGGAATGGGTTGCTATTTCCTTCTCCCCCACCCAGGAATCGAACCCTTGTTTCCCTAATTGCAGGCAGGCACTTTACCCTCTGAGACACCAAGTGAAGTCACTCAGTCGTGTCTGACTCTTTGTGACCCCATGGACTGTAGCCTACCAGGCTCCTCCATCCATGAGATTTTCCAGGCAAGAGTACTGGAGTGGGTGGCCATTTCCTTCTACAAAAAAAAAAATACTGGAGTGGGTTGCCATTCCCTTCTCCAGGAGACCTTCCCAACCCAGGGATTGAACCCGGGTCTTCTGCACTATAGGCAAACGCTTTACCATCTGACCACCAAGGAAGCCCTTAAAAAGGTAAGACAAACCTTAATAAAATATTTTGAAGGCCAAACAGAAGACAGACTTTGAAGGTTGGGTAGTTGATAACACTCAATGATAAAAAACAAAAACTGAAGTTAGGATAATAGAACTCTGTCAATTAGGAAGGCATCAGTATCTCATGAGACAGTCTTATGGGAACGAGAATGGAGTGTCAAACTTAGGTGTCAAAATGATGAAATGTATGAACTACTCACAATGAAAGTGCTTCTTTTTTTTTTTTTACTCTTTATATTTTGGTTGCTTTGGGCCTTAGTTGCAGCTCTCAGATCATTGTGGCATGCAGACCCTTACTTGTAGCTTGCATGCAGGACCTAAGTTTCCCAGGACCTTGATTCCCATGGATCAAACCTGGACACCCTGCACTGGGAGCTCAAGAGTCTTCTCCTCTGGACTACCAAGAAGTCCCAAAGTTGCTTCATATTTTAAAAGACAGGGCTACACATTTATCTTTCAGTGTTATCTCTATCTGGATTTTAGAATCAAACATACTATGTAACCCACTAAAATTTTTCTCTAGCACTAGCAGAGGGGAAAAAAAAATTAACTTTTAAATAGGAAATAGTTTTGGCATATTTACTAGGATATTTAACGTTAGGTAACAATAGATTTCCCTCTACTGGAAAATGACTGCTTAACAGTTTTCTCTTTCCTGGGGGCAGTAATTAGGATTAATATTATGACTGTTCTCTACATAAAGTCTAAGGCCTGTCCTTTCCCAAAAGACAAAATGTGCCTTGAATGAAGTAGTGATCACAGGCCATAATGGTCCACCATTCCCATTCCAAGGAGAGAGAAAATGCCAGGTCGGGTCCACCAAGCTTGGTTATGGCTGTTCTCAAAGTGCCAAAAATCTGTGGCAGTCTGAGTTGCTTATAATGGAAAATGTTGGGTTTCAACAAAAAAAGGGTAATAGATTAAAAACAACAATAAATATTTAAGAGATTTATTAAAGCATCTTATCTCAAAGATGGAAACACATACAAATTAGAAACATGCAACCATCATTTTCCACAGTCAAGTTAAAAGGTTATATATTTTTCCTATTTTCATAGCTGAAAACTTCAGATCTTAAACTGAACTTATTCACCCTGAATATTTAACTCATTCTTCATGAAAGTATCCAGGGCAGCGAATAACCAAAATGCAAACTATTATATAAAGAAAGTGCAAAGTTAAAAAAGAATATGTGTAGAGAATGCCCCCTTCCCACCCACCCCCAACCAAAGGCAAACAATGGCACTTTGCTCTTGCTTAACCTAGATTGTCTTAAAAAACTACTAAAATGTAACATACTTAACAACAACAAAATCTGACTTTTAATACATATCCAAAAAGCTTGTTAGTGTTTGAAAATAAATGCTTAAACAAAGGAAAATGTACTTTGTATCAAACAAGTATGATGAGCCCCGTGTTGCAGCATTCTGTAAAATGAACAAGACAAAAAGCTGGTATAGGGTTTATTGACAAAGGCAGAATTTCTTCAGGCAGGTATGTACGGAGGTGGTGGTTCTTTCTCAGGCATCTTCACTGCCATTTCATAGGTTGGCAAAACATACTATAAAGAGACAAGAAAAAATTATATTGGATTTAATTCTCCTTTAAATTTCTATCTTAATAACTCAGTTTTCAGATTTAATATCTTAAACAGGGGTATACCAACCCACAGAGGAGAGCTAAAGAAACTGTTAGCTAAGTACACCTGACTCTCAGGATACCTGACCCTTGAGCAATGAGAGCTTTAGGGGTGCCAACACTGCACACAGTCAGCCCTCCGTATCTGTGGTTCCACATCTATGGACTCAATGCAGACTGGGTAGTATTGTAGTGTTTCCTACTGAGAAACATCTACATACTAGTGGATTTTCTAGTTAAAAGCTGTGGTATCCAAGGGTCAGCTATAGTTCTTGGGAGTAGAGATAACTAATAACATGGAGCTTTACATGCAGGGGATATGTCTGATCCAAGATCACTAGAGAGGATAACAGAAGAGGAAGGTAAGAAGGGAAGGCAGAAACAATTTTGCTTCTGAACAGACTCTGAGGTCACCAGGACACCCTGATAGGCAACATGTAGTGCCCTCCCCTCACTCCACTGTGACTGATAAAGCAGCCAGGCCAAGTCACCTCAGGAATGGAGGGTCTCGGCGAAGGGCCCGCTGAACCCTGCTACAGGAACCCTCCAGTACAAGGCTGTATTTTATCAGAATCTGTAGTCAAAGCATCAAGCACTTGTAACACCTGCTCTTAAGGTGAAGGGCATACCTAGGTAAAAAGTGGTATTTTTAAGCTAAGTGACTCCAACGTGACAGGCTGATGCTACATGGGCCATATATACTCTACATGCTGGAAGGCAATACAGCAGCAACTAGAGGGTCTGAGAAGGAGGCCTCCCAACAGACTCTTGGAACCTACTGCATTCTTCTCCCTACAGGAAAGTCAGCTTCCCCTTTGGATCCTATGGATGTTTTTGGGAAACACCACAAGCTTCAGCTGATGGTATCCTATCGTCAGAAGTTCCAGAAGCCAAGGGCCTGGCATCACTCATACTGCTGTTCACTGACTGGTCTCCCCCTCAAAATGCAATACTTGGAGACTGATCATGAGTCAAAACCATTGGCCGGATGGAATGAGATGAGCAGTGCAGGGTGTTTCCAGCCCACATACACGGGATTCCAACTGGGAAATGCTGAAACTTGTAGATTTAAGCTATTCGTACCCTAAACCATACTTACAGCATTGAAGAGAAAGTCAAGGTTTAGATTCTTCTTTTGGGAATTCTCAATAATGGCTAGTGAAGCTTTAATATCATAAAAGATCATTCACCTGTGGAGGTGCCTCAAAGGCCGGGTACACAGCAATCTCTGGCATGTTTCTGTTGTTGATGTATTTATAACAGTTCCAAACACAGTTAATCAGATAAGCCTAAAGGAATACAAACAAAATTTACATATACTCGGAACTCAGCTGTATGTAAAATTACAGTTTTAATGTGGCTGCACCGCGCAGCCACTGGCGGCAATTGCCTTTTCTTCTTTTAGGGCTTCCCAGGTGGCTCCACTGGTATAGCACCCGCCTGCCTGAGCAGGAGAAGTAAGAGATGTAGGTTTGATCCCTGGGATGGGACGCTCCCCTGGAGAAAGAAATGGCAACCCACTCCAGTATTCCTGTCTGTAAAATTCCATGGACAGAGGTGCCTGGTGGGCTATAATCCACAGGGTTGAACAGAGTCAGACACAACTGAGCAACTAACTTTATATTTTAATTTATAAATTTAATTTTAAGTTTACCTGCTCTAAAATTAAGGAGTCTTATAATGCTCTCCCCACACTTTCTCCATAGAGAAGGGAACCGGCATCCACTTGGACCAAGTACAGGCCAGCTTTCCCTATATGCCCTCACTTAAATGTCACAAGCTTTATCACCACTGTTTTACAGAGAAACCCAAGTCTGGGAGAGCTGTGAGAAGACACGGCAACAAGAAGGTCTAGAAGGACACTCTCACAGTCCAAATGCCCCCGCTTCCCCACCAAATACTTAGTCAGCAACTCACCTTAAAAATGATGAACAAGGCAAAGAACACAAGAACAATGAACAGGAGGCAGCTGGAGTCCAATGCCAGGAGGTCATCTTTATAGGGAAAATCAGGCTATAAAAAAAAAAGGCAGGGATGAATAGGCAGAGCAGAAAAGGAGTTCTAAGAGTCCTCGAGCAGAGTGCCTTGCACATAGGAAGCAATCAATAAATGTTTTTTTGAATGAACAATAAGTTTGCAGTATGCAAGATGGACTCTCTAAAGTAGGTTGCAATAAAATACCTAAAAGACTCATTTTTGAAACTAATTTTCATTTATCTGGATCCTACACCTCTATCCACCAGACCTTATTTCAGGCCACAGTGTTCCCAGCCCCTCCATCCCATAGCATTAACCTTTGCTCACTTCCTGCTGTCATGGAACAGCCCTAGTTTATTATTACAAATAAGATCTTCATGTCTTGACTCCCCAAATACATGGTTTACTCCTTGAAGAGAAGGATGTTATATTTATACACCATACACCAACAGTTTGCCTAGGGTAGAGTGAAGAATACAGGAGGCACTCACATATTTGCTATAGATGCTTGCAAAGACAGACGGTACAGTCTTTGACAGTACCAATGAGTACAACTCCAAAGAGTGCCAAACACAGTCCAATTATTTATTTACTTTTCATACACTCAAAAGTTGAACTACTCCTTAAGTTCTATGATATCCATCTTTAAGGACTTTTAATATTTAGTTATCCACATGTAAGAAGATATTCTATTTTCATCTTTTTTATTTCAATATGGTAACAGTAGCAATGATAATTACTTTAAAACGCTTTAAAAAAATAGTAGATTAAATAAAAATAGTACCCAAAAGCTTTGATTTTCAACAAATGAAAAAAATTTTTAAAGTTTTATTAGCATACACACTTACTAACTGATCCAGATATTCTTTGATTCTTGGCAAATAAGTCAGAGAACTGATAGCAACCAGGCAGCTGAGAACAAAGTCAAAAAGCCGGTAACAGAAGAACGGAATCAGCCAACCCACTTGATACTGAAGGAAAAAATAATAACCACAACATCACATCACATATATGGAATGACTAAGTACCACGCAGTAAAAGTCAAAACTCTACAAGAAAAGTATAGAATACTTACAGAAATTGCTCCGTATACCAGCATTGAACTGATTATAAACATAAGAACAGAGACAGCAAAAAGAACACAGGCATTATCTATGAAAACAGAAGCAAAAATCTAATTAAGCTACTTATATAACAAAAAGCATAACTCTTTATGACAAAATGTTATTAAGTAACGAAGCTTAAGAAATTCATGCCTTAAAAAAAAAAAAATTTCATGCCTTTGCTCTTTCTTATTTGTTAAACTGCTACAACTCATGGCCACTGATTTAGGACAGCACATGAACCTGGTACTCTGCCAGAGACAGCTCTCTGCCCAGAGTCTAAGTTTTGAATATGGGCAAACAGATAATTATAATGCAATGTGGCAAGTGCTACAACAGAAGCAAAAAACAATTAGTTTTGCCTTTAGCATCAGGGAAAAAATATAAATGAAATAACACAAGTTGAGTCTTGTGAGATAAGCAGGGTTCAACCGGAGCAAAAGGTTGGTATTTGTTTAAACACGGAGTTGTACAGACGCCCCCCTCTTGTCTAAGATAAAATAAATCACCTGCAAGTCAAAGTTCTCCCTCAATCCCTCTTTTCCACCTCAACATCCAAACTCCCTGCTCCGCATCCCTTCACCATGGCTTCTCGGCTACATCCAGGTCTATTTTTTTCTTTGTTCCTCAATCCTTCCTCGGGTTGCTGCCTTTCTCTACATTAATCCACATCCACTAAACTTTTTCACAAAGTGCTCATGTAATCTCAAACAAAACAAACCAAAAAGCACCCACACTTGACCTATGAGCTTTCTTAGCACTGTAAGAGTCTAAAGTTGATTCTCTGGCTCTGGATAGATATCAAAACCTGAAAGGCACTAATGACAATGAATGATTAGACTACCTGCTCAGTGTTCACACTAGTGGCTAAGTGTTATGTATCGCTTGGAAATACAAACAGCATCAGTATCTGGCACTGAACTAAGAAGACCTCTCTCTAAATTTTCCTAGAGGATATAGGACAACTAAAAGTTAAAGATTTAAAGAACTTCCCTGCTGCAGCACACAATGGCTCTCAAAGGGAAGAATTCAGATATAAACAAACTTGAAAGCAAAATGTGTAATTCAAACAATTAGCTTTCAAAAATCCGTTACTGGAAGACTACGAGTTGATTTAGACTTCTTAAAATACTGAAATAATTAAAGTGAAGCTCAACGTCTTCCACTGGAGCAACAAATAGCAAAACAGAGGAGAGATGGGGTGGTGGGTGCAAAACACATTTAATGCCTGGAACAAGGGATATTCCAGTAAGTGTCAATCAATAAAGCAAGCAAAACAAGAGGGGCTCAAAGCCCAGAGAAGATCCTCAGATTTGCACCATATTCAGAACCTCCTCTGGGAGGTCCCAAGTGTTTACCCATCTCCTAGGTGAGTATAACTAACAATAAATTCCTATCTGAAAAACAGCTTGCATATGCTGCAGAAGTATTTCATATAAACTGAGTGTTATAGCCTGTTTGGCTGATTAAAAATAATCACAAACTTCATTTTTTAAAAAATTGGTTATCAGGCCAGTGATCAGAAATTAACTTTCCTTCACAACACCGGGTCTGTAGGAAGGTAAAATTTTACCTTCCAAAGAAATATCAACTACTGTATTACCAAGAACTATGTATTTTTATATTTGCTTACATTCATTGGAAGGACTGATGCTGAAGCTGAAACTCCAATACTTCTACGAAGAACTAACTTATCTGAAAGACCCTGATGTTGGTAAAGATTGAAGGCGGGAGGAGAAGGGGACTACAGAGAATGAGATGGTTGGATGGCATCACCGACTTGATGGACATGAGTTTGAGTAAGCTTTGGAAGTGATGGACAGGGAAGCCTGGCGTGCTACAGTCCACAGGGTCGGACACGACTGAGGGACTGAACTGAGGACTTCAGTAGAATATGATCAACAAAAATATAATGAATGTGATTTTCTCTGCAGCAGCAACAACAGTCACGCAACACACAATAAACTTGTGACTTAAGAGCCAGTTGCATAGACCTACAAGAATATCAGTAACCATAAATCTTTTCTACACCTCAATTTTAAGAGCAACATACATGATAAAGGAAAATGCTGACATTAGCAGATTCAGTAAAATTTTCAGCCTGAAGTTTATAAATGCCCAAAAAAATATCATTATCAGAAGCTAAAGTTTCATTTATTGTTCTATTCTGATTTTTAATTAAAAACAGATTTATTCAGAAAAAAAAATCAAATGCCAGAAGGAATGTTTCCATATATTCTTGGTATCTCTGTATGAAATTTGACAGCAAAATTAAAAGATTATATATGTTTGAAAGTAAAACTAGGATACTCATGTAAAAACAAAACAAAAACACTTAAAAAAACACAATATGAACAACTGTTAGTGTCATCATACTATAACGTATTATTAATGGCCACAAAACTCTACCTGCTCTAGAGAAATAGGTTAGGCCTGAGGACAATAATTATTTGAATTAACAAGCAAATTTTTTTTAAAAAATACCACATCACTAACGGATCAGAGGGGATCATAATGTAAAAATGTGCAGAGTTTATGACAAAAACTAATCTAAAAATATGATAATTAAGATCCTGTAATATTATAAATATAAAACACATGTGAACTGGGAACATTTTTCTGAAGAAACTGTTCACACTAAAAGTCTGAAGCATAATTTTCTGTTCAAATATTAAATTTTTAACATGATTTTTAATGTAAAAATAATAAAAATACTATTGGGAATAAATAATTTTAAAAAGTAATTTCCATGAATGTTCTAGGAATACTCTATTTTTAAGTCCAATGTCAAATCTTCATCTAAACAATAAAAATATATTGAGAATTGAGACCCTGAGCAAAAGATACCACCAAATATTCAAATAATTCGTATTCTATATTTTACTGTAGGATTGTGCTCCATGAGCAAACCTCCCATCCTCTACTACACTTACCAGCTGACCCTCAAAGACTCAGTCTTCTAATTTCTTCTCCCCTCCTCTTTCCACAGTATTTCAATGCAGACAATGCACATTTCTCAGAAATCTCCTAGCAATCCACTAGATCTTCTGACTACAAATGCTCAACTCTGAGTATTTTTGAAAAGCCTACACACACATTTTGTGCCTCAGCAAGTATAACAATCAATCCTCTACCTAACAAGTGTGTGTTTGTGTGTGATTAGCAGGCGAAAATTTCAACTAAAAACATACCAGCCATTCTCTCAGACGAATAGTAATTGCCAATGACTTCATACTGAATGTTGACAGCTGGCATTGAGTTTGGGTGTGTTACCTCCACAGTCAGCAGAATTGCCATCAACAGGTTGACCACCTATGAAAGACAACATTTTATCAACTATATTATTAATCAGGAAGCAGTCCCCAACACAATCTTTAGATATCCTCTATTTAACTATCATCTTCCCTGAAGTAACAAAGACATAAAATGGGGACTATCTGTGAGATAAAATACACGACTTTAAAAACACTTAAAATATTTCATAAAGTATAAACTTAGTCATTTCAGAGAAAAGATGTTGGACTGATCCTGTATTAATAAAACAATTAAAAGGCACAACAATTAAAAATGAGAGATTACAAATTGCTCATTTGAGTCATATATTTATTCATATTCCTATCTCAGAATTTCTGGATTTGAAGAAGCTGATCAATCAGATAAATATAATTTCCATGTCGAGGTACGTAATGATCCATCAGGTTAAGTCTAAGGCCTCTCCACAGTATCTCCTGTACAGTGGTAAGGAATTGTTTCCTCTGGAGCTACACTCAAATGCTTAAAAAGACTTTGACTATATCACTTAACTTCCGCCTGCTGGTCTTAATTCTATGGTTTGAGATATTTTGTTATCCCGTCTGAATAAGTGCTCCTCTAACACCTCAGTTCAGTCGCTCAGTGTGTCTGACTCTTTGCAACCCCATGGACTGCAGCACACCAGGCTTCCCCGTCCATCACGAAATCCCAAAGTTTGCTCAAACTCACATCTATCGAGTCAGCGATGCCATCCAACCATCTTGTCCTCTGTCATCCCCTTCCCCTCCTGCCTTCAATCTTTCCCAGCATCAGGTCTTTGCCAATGAGTCAGCTCTTCAAATAAGGTGGCCAAAGTACTGGAGTTTCAGCTTCAGCATCAGTCCTTCCAATGAATATTCAGGACTGATTTCCTTTTAGGATGAACTGGTTGGATCTCCCTGCAGTCCAAGGGATTCTCAAGAGTCTTCTCCAACACCACAATTCAAAAGCATCAATTCTTCAGTGCTCAGCTTTCTTTACAGTCCAACTCTTACATCCATACATGACTACTGTAAAAACCATAGCTTTGACTAGATGAACCTTTGTCAGCAAAGTAATGTCCCTGCTTTTTTTTTAATATGCTGTCTACTAGGTTGGTCACAGCTTTTCTTCCAAGGAACAAGAGTCTTTTAATTTCATGATTGCAGTCACTATCTGCAGTGATTTTGGAGCCCCCCAAAATAAAGCCTCTCACTGTTTCCATTGCTTCCCCATCTATTCGCCATGAAGTGATGGGACTGGATGCCCTGGTCTTAGTTTTCTCAATGTTGAGTTTTAAGCCAACTTTGCTCAACAAACTAGTAAAATGAGAGAAGATCAATCTGATCACAGCACATCAGGATCTCAGATCCCACATCCTAACTAACAAATTTCAATCAACATGTCTGAAACAAATTTCAATTAACACAGTCTGGTTCTTTTATGCACTGGCTGCATAAATCTTTTAAGTGTCACATGAGTGACTCCCTAAAACTCCCAATTCTTTTTCACACTTGATCCTGCGAAGCTACCACCTATATCTACCTGTAGAGTTGGATTCAGAGGCCCAAGCATAAGCCCTTATACATTATCTGCAATCAAATTTCATCTTATAACATTCTTGCCTATCAATATTTTCTCCATCTGAATTCTGACACCCTATGGATAGATTTTTGCTCTCTCAGCTTCCTGCATTTGAAAATATGATTATCATGTAATGAGATTCTCCACCTAAGTCACAAGCTGCCAGATAGAGGCTCTTCTCTTCCCATTGGTCAGCAGCTTTTGAATAAAGTCTATATCTGATCCAAAATAACATCTAGAGACTTTCTCAAACATCCTGCTGAAATCCTATCACTGGTATCTGGTGAATTTTCCTAGTTTACCAGGGTGTAACTCCAATTCAAAAAGGAAATTCTTTACGCCTCTAGTTGTTAGTGAATTACACAGTTATCCCAAGAGGCACCACTTCCTTTAAGTGCTCAAAACAACCCTGCTAATGATTTAAGAACTGGAGTAGGTTTCCCTATCTAAAGTCCACAGCATCTGCCCTCCTTCCCTTTGTGAACATGGGATACTTTCAAGGGACATCTGAGCTTCTATCAATAGTGTTTTAAACAATCTCTATCATGGAGCTCTCTTCTGTCTACCCTGAATGATAAATAAGCTTATCAGCTAAAGGCATTTCACATTCTGGAAGACAAGCAGCCCAAGTTTTTTAAATAAGATAAACATCACAATACCTAATTCAGAATCAATTGATATTTCTGAAGATACACTATAAATCAAGTAAATTTACATATATTATTTGACTATTCTTCACAACAACCTTGTGAAGAAAGTATGACTTATGCTCATTTGCTGACAGTTAAACTAAGGTTCCGCAAAGTGAAATACCATGTGTTAAGCTCACTGAGGTGATAACAGGACCGAGCTAGGATAGCAATCTGATTCTTTTAAAAACATCTTCCTTCTTACTACTACAGGATCACTTATAACCATTCCTAAGCAACTCTTCTTTTGAGATCTTTCCAAAATAAACCATTATCTAAGGCTACAAAATGTTTGCTACTCTCTAAATACATTCAGGTACATGCCTTTTCCTTGCACTGCTCAAAAGCAAGGTATTTCATCCTTCAACACTTGAAAGATCTTACAAGAGACAATCATATTTTCAAGGTGACTCCCCAGTTGATGGGTGATTTTTAACTGCCCATTTTTATTGCAGTGGGTTTTGAACAGGGTAGGTAATTTATGAGCTAATACAATTAAGTAAATTAACTATTAAACAGTTATCTCTACTAAGACACTGTATATTCTGTGTACGGAAATCAGTTCAAGATTAATTCAGCAAACCCTTCTTTACTAAATACAATACTGTCATAGTTTAAAAGCTCTGTATGGGAAAGAAAAATATTTATGTGAAGAATAACATGAAAACTCAATTACAAAATGAAGGAAATGACACATCAAAAATATTTAGGAGTTTATTTTTCCTTAAATATTTGCATAACATGTAAGATTTATAAAAATCTTTTCTTCTCTTTCATGGGTACGTCACAGACTCACCCACTATTATCTTCTAGTATTAGTGACACTTCAAGTTTCTTTTGTGAGTCATTCTCCTGAATATTAAACAAAATAAATCATAGGTCTAATCAAAAGAAGCAAGAAATGATAAATTTCAGCACTATTTCATTACAAGCTCAAAAGGATTTTTCAACTCTTCACTGATTAATTATATTTCATTAGCACCTCAATGTAACATTTTAAAGCACTCATCTGGAAAACTCATCCTGTGAGCTTATCTTCACCCGAGTACCTATCCTATGCTCATAGACTCCGTTCTATTTACTTTTGATTAAGTTCCATGCAGCATTTTTCAAAACACAAATAAGATTAACTTTGTGATCTTGTAATACAAAATCGGAAGAGAGCAACTACATACAAACAACTCCAGCATATTTATTCCTGATTCATTTTTCCCTTTTACTGCATTCAAGAAAGAAAATTAGCAAAAAATGTAATTAAAATAATGACTGACTTCTAAATCTAGTCACACGGAAAGGTACAGAATGCCGCAAATATGCATATACATCAACAGCCTGGGCAATGATCACATCCATGCTGAAGGGGTACTGCATTTACTGGGGTAAACAATATGGTTTGTGTTATAAGCCTTTTGCACACTTTATATAAGTAAACAAACAATAACAAAGAACAGATGTGTCACATTTCACTTGTTTCAAAGGAATAAGATCAGATCTTTGGAAGCACTCAGCCTCGGGAGAATAATTCCTCTTTGCTTCTCATTTCATAGCCACACCCATCCTAGAAGTTTCCTGAGGACTGGTTTTCGTTTATTTTTTTTTAATCCTTATTCTTTAGTTTTCCCATAGCATATTCTGCCACAACTCAACTTCTGCTCAGACTATAATTAGAACAATGTCTTAGGGTATCGCGCTAAGGGTCTCAGGCAAGTCAGCAGACAGCTGTCATCAGATAAAGACCAAAACTGACTGTCTTTAAAAATGCTGTTAAATGTGTATGTAGTTAATGTATGCATAACAGCTGTTCACCCTTTTGTGCAGTTACAAATGAGATATTCCTACTATTTTTGGAGGAGACAATTCATTTAACAATAGTCTAATGAATCCTTCAAATGCTCTAATAAGTTACTGTTACACAGACATTTTATAGAGAAAGGCATAGCATCTTTCTCCCTGAAAGAGGATATCCTGTTGTAGGGAGAAAAAGTCAAATGTGTAATTAGCATTTTTAATAAGTGCACACAAGAGGTATGCAGTAATTCTTCCAGATAAACAGTGGGGAAACCAGCTGCTTCTGGCTTGGAAGCAAGGAAGCTTCACCAAGAAAACAACTGAACTATTACAAAACTAACTGGAATTGGCAAAATGGCTGTGAGTAGTTGAAACTGTATAAGTAAATGAAAGGCTTTTATACTATTTCACTCTTTTTGTAATTTGAGGTTTTCGTCAATGAAGTTTTTGAAAAGTGTTTGGGGAAACATACTGACTCTGAAATATAAGTAAGCCATACTGATTTAAAGAGTCAGGAGTGAGGACTGGGAAGGAATACAGCTTGAGGAGCCTGTCTTCACTTTTTCCCTAGCTACCTCACTTTTAGACTGTTTATGGTGAAGACACTCATAAAAAATTAGCTATATATTATTACACCTTTCCAAGACCAACAATTTTAACCAGTGCTTCTAAATGCCTTCCTGTAGTACACCATCAACCATGAAGGAGGACACTGCTGCTGTAGACTTTAAAGCTCATTTTCAACCATTCAATAAACATCTGAACTTATATCTCCTTAGATTGCCAGGATCCCAAAGCCACCCTTTTGAACAGCATCAACAATACTATAATCAACAAAACCAATGGCTTTTTCCAACCTAAGAAAATGTTTAAAAATAATCTGGCTTCAAATTTTTCACTAAATGATAGAAAAAACAAGTTTATGAACGTCAGAGTTTAATCTGGAACTCATTCTGAAATTCCCTATTATTTAAACTAGGTATTAAGCCAGACATGCTTCTTCAAATCTAAATGCCAAAGGCTAGCACTTCAGGGCTGATACATATAGTAACTGGTTCTGGCTTCTCAGTGTCTTCTGCACTATTTACTACCATATAATTAACCCTTTGGTACACAGTGCACAATCACCTAACCTGACCTCAGCAGAAGCAAATGCTAGAAAGCAGTGACACTGTATCCAATAGAAAGTTACTACTACAGCATCTGCAACCAGCAGGAGCAAGGACTGCACCCCCGGTTGGTTCCAAGCAGCACGGGGCAACCTCAAAGAGAATCATAAATATTCTCCCACCTGAAATACAGGAAGAAGTGTATCCTGACAAGGTACTTGGACTTCACCCACTCCCATATCATTTCTCTTAGTAAAGAAGCTTCTGGCCAAAAAAAAAGTGCTCTGTTTGGACAAGTCCTCTTTGTGTCTTGGTGGTCTTGGTTTTTAAATGTTGTCTCCCCAACTAGGCAGAAATTATGTCTTTACGTTGCCAGGATCCCGAAGCCACAGTTTTGAATGTCGCCAGCAATACTATAATCAACAAAACCAATGGCCTTTTCCAATCCTTAACCTAATTTGAATCTGTTATTACTTATTATCTTCTCGTTCCTTGACACTGCACTTTCAGATCTTTGCTCCAAACTTCACTGCAATGCCATCAGTATCTTAAGGGCAGATGCCACAGTCAAGACAAGAAAACACTTCAGAGTCTCTGTGTGGCAGCTGATAGGAAGACAAAAGATGAATAACACATGTCCCTGTAACTTCTTTTCATATGTGCACCGCGGCCATTTGCACTGTAGCTGAGCAATAGATCTCTTAAAGCAGATGAACTGATGTAAGCAGCATATTATATTCCATGAACTAGAAAAATCCATGTAAAGAAAGAATAGTTTATGGCATCTTTTTATGAAACTAAAGCATGGAAAAACGGAGCTATGCAAAATGTTTTCACATCAAGTCCTTCCAGTGGGAAACAGATGTAAAACTCCCTGTTCTCTATTTTGAAAGAATAAATGCCCTTACTAAAATTCTTCTCTCTGTATGTTGAGTTTCATGGTTTATAACTTCCACTTTTGCTTGCTATTCCTTTCTTTTTTATGAACTGAGTCCATAGCAGCAAAAAAAAATCTGCCTTGGAAAGAAACACAGCCAATTACATTCAGATGGCTGAAACTGAGATGGTGATTACTTTCTTTTCGAGGAGTTAGAGATCCTTTGTTCTGTGAATGGAGGGAAGGATCTGAGAAGAAACGGGAAGAGTAAGTTTGCATGGAAGAGTCCCAGGTTGCTGGACTCCTTCTCAACTAAGTAAAAGGGAAGGTCATCTTCCAGGGATGAGGGAAACAAGGTTGAATAGTAAAGGCTTGAGGACCTTAAAGATTTGAATTATTCATTTAGGGAAGGCAGAGCTAAGAACAAACAAAAGAAACACAGGCCCAGTCCTTTAAAAAAATGAAGAACAAAATTAGAAATATAATGCATGTCCAGTATTACAAATCAGTTAAAATACAAAAGGGGTGAGGGTCTTTGCGGGAAAGGTGATATAATTATAGCAATATGTTTCTGAAGATGAAAGTAGAGGAAATATTAAAATAAGCTTAGAAACAAGCAAATAAGCCAACCCATTCAAGTTTCGTTTTTAATGTACATTAAAGAAGATGGTAAAAAAAAAAAAAGTAAATACGGAATAACGTGGAGTTCAGGTCCCCTGTGCGTGGGCATGAAACTGTATCTGCCTAACTGAAGATAATTTTCATCTTGTGTTTACCTAACAGTAATAATTTTGATGGAACCTCTGGGTTGGGAATAAATGAGAGCAGAGAAAGGCAAAAAAAAAAAAACCACACACACAAAAGACTATGATATAGCTCTTCCTTTTCTGCAGTTCACAGTTATCAGAAGCTGCATTATCACTTATGCCACAACCTCTCAAAACAAATAAAAATTTTAAAAATCACAAAGTCATTAGCGAAGATGACCAAGCCGACAATATGAGAAGTTTGTCAAAACTTCTGTGAAGTCATCATAACCCCAGACTACCTAAACGGAATCACATATTTACAAATCACAAATGAGCTTCAATGAAAATGGATAGTAGTGGAGATGGTGCTAAGAAATCACAAAGGCATTACTAGTGAACCACCAATCAGTAACACTGTCAACCTGGTTATGACACAGAATTACACAAATCCTGCCGCCCCCCCCCCCACCCCGGGAACGTTAGCACGTTACCAAAACACAACAGGTTCTAGACAAAGGTCTCAAAAACCTGAATGGGTCTGTGGTGAAAAGCGTCTCATGAGCGGGCAGGAGAAAGCCTACTGCATTAGGAAAAAGGCAGATAGTAAGTAAATCCTGGCCAAAGGTATTAACTCCAAGCGAATTTACAGACTCACAACAGAGACCTGTCTGCCTACATCCCAAACACACTGTAAAAAATAAGCTCCAGAAACAAGAGAAAACTGTTCTTAAGCTGGACCTCTCCCTTCAGGTAAGACAATAATGTTTAAAACTAGGTTGCATCTCTGAAGGTGCGCTCCTAATTCTTTCCTTGAGGGGGGGGGGGTTTAAAAAAAAATTCCAGGAAGCACTTGACGGGGGGGGAGGGGTGACGGGGGAGGGGTGTGACGGGTGGGTGGCGGGGGGGGAAGTTCCTTTAGATCGCCGAAGCACACAAAAAGATCCCGCAGCCTGGTCATTTCCAGAACTGACCACAGCAAAATCGAGCTCTCTCCTCCCGCAGCCCTCCTCCACCCCAGGCCGCAACGCTTGTGCCTTCCCCAACACCCTTTTCTCCTCTTATTCTTGCCCCCCCAAAAAAAAAAAAAAAAAATTTCCCTGTTCCCTCCCACCCCTACTCCGATTCCCAGTCACAAATCTCTTCCCCTCCAAATTTAAGAGGCCACTAAAAAGAAGGTCTCCGAGGCCTCCCCGCCCCATCCCCTCCCAGTGGATCCTTTCGTTCGAATACGAGTTCTCTCCCGCTTCCCGCTCCGGCGTATCCTCCCCCCACCATGGCCCCTTTCCTCCCTCCTCGCCCGCCCTTACCATGTACCAGGTCCCCAGGATGATCGTCCCGGTGCGGACATGGCAACAGCCGCAGCACCGGGTGCTGTAGAACCGGTCGCTGCGGCTCCGCTTGAAAGTCATGGACACCATCGGGAACCTCGAGGGCCTCTTTCTTGGCCGGGCCCCTAACAAACGCCTTCCGCCCAGCGGTTGAAGACGGAGAGCGCGGTCACTGAGGCCAAACCAAACGACGCGTCTTCAAGCCCGGCCTCCTGCCCGGGCCCCCAAGCCAAAAGGCTTCGCACCTGCGCACTGAGGGCAGAGCGCTGTTCCCGCGAGAGCTCCGTTTACCCTTTTCCTCAGCCTTACCCGCACTCAGGCCAATGGAAAAGCGGGAAGCTAGGCGGAAGCGAGTTTTGATTGGAAAAGCTTAGAGATTGACAGGATCTCACACCCAATCAGAGACGCAACTCTCCTCGGCACTAATGGATTCCCCTCCTCTTACTAGACGGCGGGGCTGCCCCTAGGGCTGCCTAGGATAGTCCGGGTTGGAGAGGGACCCTGGTAGATCACCATCCCCGAGGTGAAAACGGGGAGGTGAGAGGCCTTTAACGGGAAAAAAGAAAGTCTAGATGCAGTAGGTGGCAGAAACCGGGCACGGAGGACTTGTCTGAGTGAATCTGCCACGTACTGCGCGAACGCATCACGGGACCGCGGCTGCTCACGTGACCTTTGCGTCATAGCTCAATTATGGGGCTGGCCAGGGGCGGTGCCCGTGGAGAAGGGGGCGGGGCTAACCCCTGCTCTGGGGCCCTCTTGGCTGCTTAAATGGCAGACTTGAGAGGGATCAGATGTTAACCTTCCCCTCTCACTCTGGTACCTCTTTGTTGGGAGCGAAGAAAGACCATGCTACTCTGCCAGAGAAGAAAAGAATTGAGGAAAACATAGGGCAGAACTGTTTAGCTGCTGGGTGTTTACAGATTGAGTGACTTTTATAAGGAAAAATTGTGAAACATAATGAAATGGACTGAGGTTCTTGGGTGTCTTCCATGAAAAACGGGCCATAGTCTGGCTCACCTTTCTGGGTGTTCTGAATCTAGGGGAGCGCTCCATTTTTGTGCAGTCAAGTGTGACCAGAGAGCGTAACCTGTCATTTAAGTAAACAGAGGCTATTGTGGTGGTCAACTGTGGCCCTCAAACCAAGTGTGTGGCCTTTACAACCACAACCAGGGAGGCGGGATTCAGGATGGAGAAAAATAGGCTACTGGGCCTAAATGCAAGGGAGTAGTTTTAATAAGTCCAGACTCTTGCATCTTCCCATATGTGGAAAAACATCATTGGCCTGGGTTAGCTGGTCTATCTTTAACTAGCAGTAATCTTTTGGTGTTCTGCTATCTGCGATTCCGCCCCTCCTCCCCCCAAAACTGTGTATCTTGGCTTCTCCGTTTGCATCTTTGGAAAAGGCCCTCAGAGCTATCTGAGAGAATGTCTCCTAGGCTTAAATCCTCAGTTAAGTCCAACAAATAAAAGATAATTCTCAGCTTTTAGGTTATGTGTGTTTTTTTCAAGCAACATCTGTTCAACTCTAAATGTAGTTAACTGATAGCAAGAGGAAATAGTCTTGTCCTTTAAACTTCATATTGAATCCCCCTCCTTGGAAAAAGCCATTTTGCAGATACTTGTAAATTCATTTCCCAATCCTGATTTGAATGATATAAATGGGTACTTTACATTGTCCTTTAAACCAACTCTATAAGATTTCACTGGTCCCCTCGTTAATGAGTAAATAAAAAATTTTACACTGTTTATTTTGTATCTGTATGAGACTTATGACTTATCTGTTTATGAAAAGATGTTGTTTTATTCTTTGGAAAGTACACTTCCTTTTTAGGAAACAGAAGTGCCTTCCCCTCTGCCTTTCTTAGCTGAAAACCACAGTGAATTTAGTGTAAAGTTTATTATATTGGCAAGGTTTCAATGAACACTGTCTGACATTATTTATTGATTTGTTGATTATTTATTTCCCTCACTAAAATATAAGTTCTAGAACAGAGGCTTGTTTACTTCTGAAACACTGAAAGAATTGTCTGCAGGCAATTATCCTAGTTTGAATAATACTCTCAAACTCTCTGGAAGGCCATAGTTAAGCCAAGCTACAATGAAGAATGGAATGCAGCGGTAGCAATTTAACTCAGAATGAATTATGACATTTCTCCACTTACTAGAGAGTAGACTAATAATAATTCCACATGCGCCAAAAGAAAAAAAATATTCCATAACTCTAACTGGGTTCTATGCATGGATTTAATCACTTTGTTTTCCATCATTTCATCCTTAAAACCAGTGGTCCTCAACCTTTTTGGCACCAGGGACTGGTTTTGTGAAGGAAATATTTCCACAGACCAATAGTGCAGTGATGAGGGGGTGATTTGGGGATGATTCAAGTGCATATTTATTGTGCACTTTGCTTCTATTATTGTTACATTGTGATATATAATGAAATAACTATACAACTCACCATAATTCAGAATCAGTGGAAGCCCTGAGTTTCTTTTCCTGCAACTGGATGCTCCCATCTGGGGATAACGGGAGTCAGTGACACCCAAAGTGTGTTGCTTGAGTCCAGTCTACTCCATAATCTTGTTCTGGTTGTTGTCACTGCAGATAACTCGGGCTCAGAAAGATGCATGCATGCATACTAAGTCATTTCAGTCATGCCCAACTCTGTGTGACTCTATGGACTGTAGCCCACCAGGTTCCTCTGTCCATGGAATTCTCCAGGCAAGAATACTGGAGTGGGTTGCCATGCCCTTCTCCAGGTTCAGAAAAACAGAACGTTGGAAATGAAAGCAAGTTTTCAGTGCTTTTGTGGCAGTCTCAAGATATTCCATCTTGACTTTAATCCAGAATGTCTGGAGATTTGAAGTTGTCTTGAACATACTTTTAAGGCCACTGTCATTTGCAATTTCACACAGCTGATCCTCTTCTAGCACAGACAAAGTCGATTCACCTGACATTCACAAATGGTTTACAGACCCATTGCTCCCCAGTTCAGGGGTCTGTTGAGGCTGAAAAGTAAAGCTTCAATTCTTTGGAATGCCATGATAGGTGATCATGCACCAGCTGGGAGAAAGAGGGCCCTGGCTCAGTGTCTTCCAAAAATCTCTGCTAATGTTTGAAACATGTCAAAAATCCCAATGCTCACTCATCACCCCCATAATTCCAGCTTGGCTTTGAATGCAGCCACTTTATCTGCCAGTTTGAACTCTGTTGTTGCTCTTCCCTGAAGTGACAGAATGAGTTTCTTGAGCAGGGTGAATATGTCACACAAGGGAACAAGTTTTGCAACCCATTCTGTGTCACTGAAATGTGCTGCCAGTGGTGACTGTTTTTCTAAAAGAAGTCTCTGGATTAGCCTTTGTCACTCAAAAACTCTGGCCAGTGATCTACCTTTAGAAAGCTCGGTCAGTTCTCTGTATCAGAGAAGACGTGTGTACTCTGCGTCCATCTCCTCACAGAGTTGCGCAAACAGACATGCGTTAAGGGTATGTCCTTTTTATTATTTTATTTATTTACTTTTGGCCGTGCTGGGTCTTTGTTGCTGTGCAGGATTTTCTCTAGTTGCAGGAAGTCTGAGCTACTCTAGTTTCGGTGCTCCAGCTTTTCCTTGTAGTGGCTTCTCTTGTTGTGGAGCACAGGCTCTAGGGCATGCTGGCTTCTGTAGTTGTGATTCCCAGCCTCTAGAGCACAGGTGCAATAGCTGTGGTGCACAGGCTTAGTCACTCCGTGGCATGTGGTATCCTCCCGGACCAGGGATCAAACCTGTGTCTCCTGCATTGGCAGGCAGATTCTTTACCACTGAGCCACCGGGGAAGCCCAAGGGCGTAGACTTTAATGTGTTGATAATGTTAACCACATCCTGCAAAAAGTTGTTCAGTTCAGGTGACATTTTCTGGCTAGCCAGCATTTCTCTGTGGATGACACAGTGTGTACACTCACATTCAGAAGTGACCTCTTGGAAGCACGTAGTGAAACCAGAAAGCCGTCCAGTCATGAGCAGCGCTCCATCTGCTCCAACACAAAATGACCAGTGCAGTTTTCCTGATAGGTGATCATGCAAAGACTTGAATAGTTCTGCAGCTGTAGGGTTGGGTGGCAAAAAAAGCCCACATAACGTATCTTCATGCACATTCTCTTGAAAAATATGTCGCACAAAAACAAGTATTGTTGCCTTCGTATCAACACCTGTAGACTCATTAACCTGGATTCCATACCACGGTGACTCATTAATCCCAACAATTGTGCCTCAATGTCCTCTGCTATTTCATCAATTCATCTAGCTATGTGTGCACGCTCAGCCATGCCCGACTCTCTGCAACCCTACGGACTATAGCTTGCTGGGCTCCTTTGTTCATGGGATTCTCCAGGCAAGAATACTAGAGTGGATTGCCATTCCCTTCTCCAGGGGATCTTCCCTACCCAGGGATCAAACCCAGCTCTCCTGCATTGCAGGCAGATTCTTTACCATCTGAGCCGCCAGGGAAGCTCTGGTGCTAGCCGAAAGAGGAGCACATGCACGTGTCACCTTTTGAACTGCAGTCTCTTCCAGAAGTTCACAACAAATGTCCTTAGCAGCAGGCACGATTAGCTTTTCACCCAATAGTAAAGGGCTTCTTAGTTTTAGCCATATGTTTCGCCACTAAGAATGATGCTCTCCATACAAACACATCTGATGAAGTGCTGTGTGTGTGTGCGTGTGTGTGTGTGTGTGAGTTGCTCAGTCCTGTTCAACTCTTTGCAATCCCGCTGACTGTAGCCCACCAGGCTCCTCTGTCCATGGGATTCTCCGGGCAAGAATACTGGAGTGGATTGCCATTCCCTTCTCCAGAGGATCTTCCCGACCCAGATTTTGAACCCTGGTCTCCTGCATTGCAGATAGATTCTTTACCATGGTGGCCTTCAATAATTGCTCCTGTTCTTCATGTTCACCTTTTTGTTTTGTTTTGTTTTTTTTTGCCTTTTCCTTTTGAAAATCTCCAGAGGCTTGTCTTCTAATACAGCATGCTTGGTCTTCAAAGTAGTTGTGAAGATTTCATAGCTTTGTTGGATAGCCAGTCACCACATATTGTATAAAGTAGGCTTGGAGAATG